ATCCCAGCTCACTGCAAGCTCCGCCTCCCGGGTTCACGCCATTCTCCTGCCTCAGCCTCCCGAGTAGCTGGGACTACAGGCACCGCCACCACGCCCAGCTAGTTTTTTGTATTTTTTTTTTAGTAGAGACGGGGTTTCACCGTGTTAGCCAGGATGGTCTCGATCTCTTGACCTCGTGATCCGCCCGCCTTGGCCTCCCAAAGTGCTGGGATTATAGGCGTGAGCCACCGCGCCCGGCCACCATGCCCAATTTTTAAAATTTTTTCACAGAGGTCTCATTATATTGCCCAGACTAGTCTCAAACTCCTGGGCTCAAACAGTCCTCCCACCTCGGCCTCCCAAAGTGTTGGGATTACAGGCATGAGCCACTGTGCCTGGCCAGGGGCCTCATCTTTAAAAGGGGAATATGGCACCTGCCCCACAGGATTGTTGGGAGGAGGGCACCTGGCACCAGAAAGGCTCAGCTCACAGGACAATTTAATGTGCTGGATGGAGGTGTATGGGAAAGACTTATTTAGGGGGTGGTAGAGGCCCAAGGACAAGCTTATGTCCAGAAACGTCCCACTTATGTCCACTCTCCACCCAGAGGTGCGCATGGCTGAGATGGTGTCCATGGGTGTGGGGAATAAGGCCTTCCGAGACATTGCCCCCAGCGAGGAAGCCATCAACGACCGCACCATCAACTGTGTCCTGAAGTGCCGAGGTAGCAGGCAGGCTACAGGGTGTCGGGTAGGAGTAGGAAAGCTGTGCGGGAAGCACTGTGGCCTTCTGTCAGTGCTGACCCGCACTCTCCTTGGGATCTGGGGTCAGGCTAGGCTCTGGCCTGTCCCAGACTGACCCTCTCTCTTATGCAGAAGTTCGATCTCGGGCGTCCATTGCCGTGGCCCCGTTAGACTATGACAGCCTCTACCTGGGGGCCTCGAACTCCCTTCCTGGAGACCCTGCCTCTTGCTCTGTTCTGGGGTCCCTCAACCTGCACCTGTACAGAGACCCAGCTCTTCTGGGTCTCCACTGTCCCCGGTATCCCCCCAACTTCCTGGAGGAAGCAGCACTGGAGACTGAGGCAGAGCTGGGCAGCCAGCCCTCTTTGAGTATGTCTGGGCCCAGCCAGAGACAGGAGGGCATGGCTTGGGGTCTGGGGCCTTCCGTGCTGACAGCTCACCCAGTCTCCCTCCCTAGCTCCTGAGGACTCAGAGGTCTCATCCCAGTGCCCATCAGCCAGTGGCTCCAGTGGCTCTGACAGCAGCTGTGTGTCAGGGCAGGCCCTGAGTAGGGGCCTTGAGGACTTATCCTGTGTGAGTGCCATTCGCCCTTACCCACCAGCCCTTCCCCAGCCCAGGCTGGGCCTGTGACTGTGACCAGCCCCTCCCAGGACAGGGTAGCCCTTTACTTTGGGTAGAGCTTGGGGTGGGTGGGCCAGAGCCATTCCCCAGACACCCCCTGGGCCCAGAGTCAGGGAAGCAGGCATTCATGCCTGGCCTGGCTCTGCAGGTCTGAGCTTGGGACTGGACGAGCAGTAGATCCAGCAGCCTGCAGCTCCAAGGAACATTGCCTCTCTGGATCTGCTGTGACCAGGGTGTGGCGGACACCTGGGCCTCCTCCAACCTACGTGTGCAGCACTGTTGACTACCCTTTCTGATGTGTGTGGCCATCGGACTAACTGGCACGGGGCCTCTCTAGGGGAGTCTGGTTGTAGAGCCTGAATAGGCTCCTGGCCCCATGACCCCTTCTCCTGTCCTCAGCTCCCATCCCAGTTGTGGGTTAAGAACAGGCTAGAGCAGACATTGGGTGTTTTCATGCTATAGGCTGGTGGGGGACCATGTGCCTCTGGGCAGTGACTAGGCTGCCCCCACCCCTCAGGAAGAACATAGGTGGGCTCCTAGCAGCTGATCCCCAATCCCTGGACTTAAAGCTGAGCTGTTACCATAGGGGCAGGTCCACCTCTACAGGGCCCTGATGCTTGCCTGTCCTGGCCCCCAGGCCCAGCCACTTCTTTACGGGGGCATTTTGGTTATTTTGACTTGATGCCTTTTGAATAACTTTCAACAGAGTTGTCTAAAATTATCTTACTGGTTGTTAGGCCTTTGGTGTCTCAGAGAAGGAGTCTAGGTCTTTGATGTGTGATTTACTGTTTTATTTGTTTATAATAAAAAATAGACTGATATGTACCCACTGATGGGCACATGCATTCTGGGGCTATCTCCAGTTAACATGAACCTTGGTGGGTGGGGCACAAGGGGCTGCATCTCTGGACACCCTAGTCCTCTTGTAGGTACTTTCCCAGGATGGAGTACGAGACAGACCTAGACAGGCCCCTCTGGATGAGCAGGTCCATGCAGCGGCCATATTTCCTGGCGAAGGGCAGTGTAAGCTGGAAGGAAAGGCCAGTCTTATCCCTGATTTCCTGGCCAGTTGCCTACTCTAGCTCCTTGTGGGTGGGGTTCTCCCATCGGGGCAGGGACAGGGCAAGCCCGGCTGTAGAGGACTTTTGATGCTCTAGGGCCCAGCTCTGCCCAAGGGCATCTCACAGGATGGGGCTAGAAATGGCTATCAGGGAACTAAGCAGAAAGACTGGAGGGTCAAAAACATGTTTCCTGCTACCAGTTTTCCACTTTCTAGCCACACACGCTGACTTCGCCTTTACAAACCACATATGAGCCAGATGCCTAATGGTAACTGGGTACTAGAGGGCTTATGGTGAAAGGTGTTATAATAATGCTCTTGATTATAGAAGTGTCAGATCAATTAGAAACTGCCTAAATCATTTCCACCTCAATGTTAAAATTAGATTAAGGAATCAGAAAAGGAAAAAAAAAAAAACACAACAAAAAAACCTTTGATCATTTCTTTGCCCTTACTGAACATTTTCTTTTTCTTTGTAAAGAATGCTTAAAAGTAGTTTAAATATGAAAGGAATGTACACAAATGGTGACATCGTGGCCAGATAGGTGAAGCTGCTATCACTGGTTGAAAAGGCCTCACTCCCATATGAGTCAAAGCTTGGGCTCGTATGATATGTGTACCTAAGTGTGGCCAGGGTTGTTAGTGATGAAGGCAGTTGGTATCATTAGAGGAAAACTATAAAAACCAGTGACCTGAATACTGCTTTTGGACTACTCTGGATTGGTTAATTTCATCCAGTTTCTCCCTCCCTGGGAGCAGTGGCCTAAGGTGCCTGTCTAGCTTTCTGGGCAGTACTGACCCAGCCCTGGTGCAGCAAGACACATGTCCATCTGAGGCATCCACAGGGTCAGTGGATTTCCAGGGGTTGCAAGTGACCCTCACCTCCACCCAGCTGTACAGGCGCTCCTGGGTGTGCCGGTCGTCCTTGAAGCCGGTGATGGCCAGCAAATCTACCACAAACTGCTTGGGGCTGATGTGCAGGGTCTGCCAGGAGAGCCCACGATCAGGCAGGGCTAGGGCAGCTCCTAGCCCCTCAGAGTGAGATGCAGAGCAGTGACTTCTCTGGGCCTGCAGAGCCACAGAGGTAGGGGGCAGGCACTGTCACTGCAAATCTGCCTCTTGGCTGAGGCTCAGTCCAGGTGCAACTGCTCTGCTTGCCCGTCCCTGCCTGTCCCACCACTCTTCTGGTCCTGGCCTTCTCCTTAACCCCATCTTGGCTTACTTCCTCTTGCCTTGCACCACTTACTGTGGGACAGGGGAAGAGGTGGAGAAGGTACAGGGTGCCCCAGGGCCTGGGGCCTATCACACATACCCACAACTGGTTGGCCAGGGAGACCACCTTGGCTGTGATGGCTTTGGGGTCCTTTTGCCTGATGGAATCCAGGATGATGTCAGCCAGGAAGCAGTGACATTTCTGTGCATAAAACATCTCTTCCCAGGACAGAGAGAAACTCAGGAAAGTCACTTCTGTGGAGGAGGGAAAGTAGATGTGGCCACATCTGTCAACAATAGGGCCTTAGAGACAGTGTGAGGAGGGGGAGAGGGGTAGGGCCCCCAGGGGCCACTGTCTCTGCCTGAAATAACCTGGGAGGGGGCTCAGGCATCCTCACGAGGAGGCGCAGGGCTCAGCCTGGTTCCAGAGCCTCACCTTGGGGCTGGGGGCTGGCTGTGGGTGGTGTAAGACTGAGGTTGTCCATCTGTGTGGTGTAGATGATGCTGTCCTCAAAGAACATGCAGAAGCCATCGTTGCCCACCACAGGGGGGTGAGTCACTTTGAGGATAACCCCTAGGCTGTCCACCTCACTGGCCTCAGGCAGAGGCTGCTCAGGGGCAGGGATTTCTGTGAAAACAATATAGGGAGGGGGCTCTCCTTTTAAAAAAATTTATTATTATTATTATTTTTTGAAATAGAGTTTTGCTCTTGTTGCCCAGGCTGGAGTACAATGGCACAATCTTGGCTCACTGCAACCTCTGCCTCCCAGGTTCAGGCAATTCTCCTGCCTCAGCCTGCTGAGTAGCTGGGATTACAGGCATGTGCCACCATGCCTGGCTAATTTTTGTATTTTTAGAAGAGATGGGGTTTCACCATGTTGGCCAGGCTGGTCTCGAACTCTTGAACTCAGGTGATCCACCCGCCTCAGCCTCCCAAAGTGCTGGGATTACAGGCGTAAGCTACCACACCCAGGCTTTTAAAATTCTTTTCTTCAATTACCATCAAATCTACCTAAGCAGGGGCTCTCCTTAAGCCACCTCAGAGCCCAAGGAGGGAGGGGACCTCTGGTGACAGGACAGTACAATCAAGTTACCCCAGCCTTGCAACAGCTGCCATCTCTAGTTTCTCAGAAGTGACACCCTGGGCTGGCAGGGGCCTGTCCTGGCTGCTCCTCTCTTCATTGCCCTGGCATCACTGCAAGTCAAATCCTGAACATTTTGGAACTCCCAAGAAACTCCAGATTCCTCTGTTGAATTAAGATGTCTCAAATGGAGTGGACAGTAACCCAGCTGAGGGCTAGAAATCTTTATAAAATTTTAAGTTGAGAGCTTTTGGGGCCAGCCTTTGATGCATGTCCAGAGAGTGGACATGCTTTGTCATCCCAAGCTTAACAGACCAACTTAGGGCTCACAGGCAAGAGTCCAAGAAGGCCCCTCCAAGCAGGGCTGGAGCCACTAATAGGGAAGGTGACAATACTGCAGGCAGGGCTTTGAGGGAGCAGAGGCAGCAGCCTGGCACAGCAATTATCAGCACAGTTCCTTGGCCGCCTCCCCTTAGCTGGCTACACACACTATCCAGCTCAGTCCCTGTAGCCCCTGCTACCTCCTGGGCTTCTCCACCTGGATGTCCCTTGGCATTTCACACTTAGTGTGTGTCCTTCCCCAGGCTCTGCTCTTTCTCTTACTCACCTCAGTAAGGGCCCATCCACCCCCTTGTAGTCCCACAGGCTAGAAACCTGGCTCCTCCTTGGCCCAACCCTCCTTCCATCCCCTAGCTGCCTAGCCTCCTTCCCCTAGCCTAGAAAGAACTCCAAGTGGCTTCGAACACCTAGCTCCTGCTTCATTTCCTCTGCTCCTGGAGCACACTTTCTGATGGGCACACCTGATCCCTGTGCTCTTGTCTAAAATCCGTCAGAGGCTGCTCACTCCTGTCCTGGTCAGAATGGAGTACCACGTCCTGAAGCTGGCCCGCAAGCCCTGTCCTGATGACTTCTGTCTTCAGCCTCATCTTTTATCACATCTGCACGTGAAGCCTGGCCTCCAGCTAGACTCATGCCCTGCACTTCCAAACATCCTGGACTTCATCCTTCCCCTGCTGACTCCCCAGCCCTCAGCCTCTTTTGTGCTCCTGCTTCATAGGCACCCTCTTCCCACAGCGCTCATCCCTTCACCATGTGTTCTCCTGGCCCCTCCAGCCATGCCAATGTGCCGGTCATTTCTGTGTCTGCTGCCTGGCACAGAGATGGCATTGGTGAGCAGGGGGGGTCTAGTCCTCCTTTGTCACTAACTTGCTCTGCCATCTTGGCCAAGGAGTTTGCCTTCTCTGTTGTGAATAAGACTTAGATCAAAGTGGGACAGGACTCACCTCTCTCCTTGGTCCTCTGCTTGCTCCAGTCCTTCAGGGTGATGGGTCTTTTTTGGGGGAAGTATGACTTGAAGGTTGGCTCTGGCCCCTTGTCTTTCGGTCCAGCTCCAGCCCCTGCCTGTGGTCCTGGATCCTTCTCTGAGGCTGTGGAATGGACTTTCCAGGCAGCTGAGGGGCTGGGCTGGGAAGCAGCCTCACTTCCCAAGGGGAGCTGCAGGGTGGCCTCCTCCAAGGGGCTGCTCCGGGAGGCTGTCAGTGGCTGGAATTCCCACTGTTTGCAATTGACCATGTCCCATTCTCTCACCAGGGAGATGAGTTTTTGCATGGGAGTGGCGGGAGGGTCTTTGGTTTCAGATTTCTGTGTGAGGTTGATTGTGGTGCATTTCTTCTTTGGGGGGCTCTCAGGGTGGCTCCCCCAGTGTCCGGGGTTGGTACATAAGCCAGGGCAGTGTGAGTATGTGCTGGGGTTGCCAGCCCTCTTGGCATTTCGGCATAGGGACACCTGGATGGGCCGGGTATACTGCTCAGCCTCCTCCATCTGGTTGGACCTGGCCAGGTTTCCATTAGCCTTGTTCCATGGAGCCCTGTCACTGCAGTCTTCAAAGTCCACAGGCATGTAGGCTGTGGTCTGGGGAGGGAAGGGCACAGTAACTCTGGATAGGTTGGGCATGGACATCAACACCTTGCCCAAGATCTAATAAGCTGGGCCTCCAGGACTTCACTTGCTCCCCCTGAACAATCTCATCCCTGACAGGGGTCACCCACTTGAGCTTTGCTCAGGCTGAGTAGGGGTAGTACCAGCCCAGTGGCCTGTCATTCCAACAGGAGATTCAATCAGCATCGCAGGCCACAAGTGGCCAGTAAGTTCCTGTGCCTCCTTCACGGTTCAGAAACCAGGTTCTGTCCTAGGAATCCATGTAGGCCCTGCTCTTTCGTTTTACTGCATCCCTCAGTAGCTGAGCCTGCCCCCCTCCACCCTGAGCCTGGTGGTAGTGGTTTTTGAGGACAACAACCAGAGGAGGCTGGGGCTTACTTCTTTAATGTCTCTACTGAACTCTGCCAGTGACCCTGGCCCTTCTGTCACCACGTGCAGCCTCCTGATGGGAAAAGCTTCTTCATTTTCAGATTCTTTCTCCTGAGTCCATGACCTGCAGAAAGAGGGGTGGGTTAGTGAGCAGAGACTTCCATCAGGCCATTGGCCAGTTGGT